TCTCTCTTGCAGATTAACGCCATGTGCAGAAAAGGTTTTCAGATAGGGACTATACATAGATTCAATGTAACTTAATCATTATTTGATTGAGCACCAGGATGTATATAAACGGAGTTAATTTACAAGAATATCCTAGGCATAAACTTTATTCTTTATTTTTGAATATGTTCTTCTTTTTTGATTGCAATATAAGTTTATGATCTTTTTGAATTATTGTTGCTGGGCTTTTAAGTTAAATTTTGAGTGCATGAAGAGAGTTCTAGTAACTTCTATCTCTTGTTTGGTATTTATTATTCGGATCAATTCTCAATATTTTAGTTAATTTTTAGTTGGTATAGATAATGTCTAAATTATATTTAAATTTTCTAGAAATCTAGAAAAAAATATATATAATTTAGATAGTTTTTTGACATGACAACACACACACACATAATAGGAGTCTGTGCCCTAAGGCAGGTCTGTGAGCTAAAACTCGACCTCAAATCGGAATAGTGTGTGCTATGTAAATGCCATTTCATTTTGCAGTGCTGCAACTGGGCTATTTTTGAATACAAGAAAGCGAGGCTTGGACTCACACCTCCCTGTCCACACAAGACATTGAACAACCGTATATATATATATATATATATATATATACTAGCAGACCCGGCAAACGTTGTTTTGCTAAATAAGGTATATTCTAAACCATTTCTAGAGAATCAAAAATATTAATACTTTAAGTGCATAAGGATGTGTTGTTTGAATGCTGTATACAATTAGGTATGATAAAAACAATAAACCCCATTAGTTTGTCTATATTTTGTCAATACAATCAAACTGCAAGTTTTATACACTTTCTATAGAAAACATCGTATAATCCAATCCGAGTCTTTCGGCTTATTAATTACGTTTCAAGTTTTTCAGATTCTTTTTGGATTCTGGATTTTGTGTATAATTGTAAATAATACTACTGAGCTTATACAAATTTTTCAAATTTTTGCGAGGAGAGATAAAAAATGAATTAAGTATTTCTTTTTCGACCTGCTTTTTGAAAAGTTTCAAGTTACATTCGATGAATTAAAGTAAATTTAATAAAAAGTATATATGTAGAGCAGGGCGAGGCACAAAGGTCCAATTTGACTTTGAGCAAATATAAACTATATTGTGAAAACCATAACAATTATATCACAACAAATAAGACATATCAAACGAACAATTATCTTACTACGTTCAGTAAACTGACTTCTACTTCATCATTGTAGAAATGTGCTTTTTTGATGTCTTCCAAAAATTTGTTATCTAGACCTTTTTATCCTATATGCGGGGTAACTTGTAACGGGCAGGTGGCAAAAGGTTTAAAGCCTTATTATAATTTTAAAGGTATTTTACAGAATAATTACATTTTTAACTAATGCTAAAACTACCAACGGAAGAAAATACTTTTATTATGGATTTTTAAAGATTACCGTTTATCTCCCCCATTTCAAAAATTATCGTTTTCAAATCAAGTTTGTAGCTGGCTATACATCTTTTTTCCTCTACTTTCAAATATTGTTGTTAAACAATGCTTAACTTTACTGACTTTTGGCACATCGGTGGTGGACCTTTTTAATCCCGGACCTTCATATATTAATATCTATTCTGCGATAAATTCTGGGAAATTATAATTGGAAAAATGTTATTCGACAAAATGTCTATTTGATCGATATCAAATTTAGGTTCTGAATTTAAATAAGATAAATAAAAAATAATATAACCTAGAAAATGTTTTATAAATACCAATGAGTATATAATTATACAAATGAGATCTTTCAGAGCACCGTGTTTGAGAAAAATATGCCAAAAAATGCATTTTCATATTAACATATCAAAAAAGTTTATATTTTGAGTCTCTAGTAACACTTGCGGCCCGTTTACTAACGTTTTTGTATATAAATAAAACTACAAACAAAACTACTTACTACAAATTTATCATAAATAAATAATATTCGCGTAAAACATCCTATTAAACGTAATTGAACATCATCTGTCAAAGGCGTTTGACATTTCACGAAATTGCCACCGTCCATTGTTTTATTTAAATTACGCTTCTACAAAAATTTTCAAATTAAAAATGTAAAGTTTCTACGCGGATTTGAAATAATTTCTCACCTTTTGGACTTTCTCTGGATTGGCACGAATTATTCAAGACTAAGACTGGCCAAATCGATTCAGCCGTTTTCGAGTTTTATTCGGACATTTGAAAGAGAGCTCCGTTTTTATATATAAGATATATATATATATATATATATATATATATATATATATATATATTATTGTCTCTATTTTCTATAATTAATTATTTGTCAGGAATCTATAAATTAAATAACAACACGGTGCAGTAATGCCACGGTGCCATTTTAATATTTTTAGCGATCTAAAGGAGGCAGCACTTGTTCAGTATATAAATCAACCGCTGGTATTATTCCTAGATATGGTTCGCATACGTAATTCAAAATAAGAAAACCTAAATAATTTCTTATATTGGAAATGAGAAAAAAAAAATACGAAGTACAAAATATATTTTCAAATATATCACAAACATTTTTACATAACAATTAAAATTTTTATAAATGTAATAATCAATATATACACAATAATAAGTATTATAATTTTACAATTATAAATAACTAAAAAAAGTATTCACAATGGTATAATAAATTTACAAGGAACGATCAATATGTTTTACTTAATGATCAATAATATATAGCAACTACACAGAGATTGTGTAGAAGCATTTACAATAAAATGTTAAACTTAAAAGGAACAATCAATATGAATTACTTAATGATCAATAATATATAGCAACTACACAGTGATTGTGTAGAAGCATTTACAATAAAATGTTAAACTTAAAAGGAACGATCAATATGAATTACTTAATGATCAATAATATATAACAACTAGACAGATTGTGTAGAAGCATTTACAATAAAATGTTAAACTTAAAAGGAACGATCAATATGAATTACTTAATGATCAATAATATATTGCAACTACACAGTGATTGTGTAGAAGCATTTACAATAAAATGTTAAACTTAAAAGGAACGATCAATATGAATTACTTAATGATCAATAATGTATAGCAACTACACAGAGATTGTAAAGAAACATTTACAATAAAATGTTAAACTTAAAAGGAACGATCAATATGATTTACTTAATGATCAATAGCATATAGCAACTACACAGTGATTGTGTAGAAGCATTTACAATAAAATGTTAAACTTAAAAGGAACGATCAATATGAATTACTTAATGATCAATAATATATAGCAACTACACAGTGATTGTGTAGAAGCATTTACAATAAAATGTTAAACTTAAAAGGAATGATCAATATGATTTACTTAATGATCAATAATATATAGCAACTACACAGAGATTGTGTAGAAGCATTTACAATAAAATGTTAAACTTAAAAGGAACGATCAATATGAATTACTTAATGATCAATAATATATAACAGAGATTGTGTAGTTCGGAATAACAAATTCAGAAGGAATCACAAATAATGCAAAAATTTAAAAAGTTTTAAAAAAAAACAAATAACTTGTTAAAAAGTACAAATACTTCATAAACAAAAAATCATAAAAACATAATATATATATATATATATATATATATATATTTATAAATATACTAGCCGGCCCGACAGACTTCGTCCTGTCAAAAAAAATTTTAATGTGGCGGTGTTTTGTGCCTACCTTTTTTCTATTCTTTGCAAAAATCCTGAACAGAACCGTCACCCTGGTAATAATTCGGTATGAATTAAAAATAATTAAATAAAACACTATAAGCATTTAAAAGTAAGTAATTTTAATAATGTAAATCATAATTCAAAAATCAGTTCAATTTTCATTGTAGTGCTTTGTGATAAACGATGTTTTTTGTTTGATTACCCAAAAGACCAACAAATCTGATGGTTTTTCAATACGAGAACAAACAACATACAATTTTCCATGTGACAAACATGGGTTTTCTAAATTAATACAACAAACACTTAATGAAATTTAAATAATTTACATCAATGTTTTTGGCTGCCAATATAGCTTGATTTATAGAAAGATATTTCTATGTTTATATAAATATATTCAAAATTAGATTATCAAAAACTACACAAAATGTCATGACATAGATCATTGTTTTTGTTACAAATTGCGTTGCCTACTCGATTAAAGAAGAAAAGAGTTGTTTTTAGGGTTTTCCCGGCAATTATTCGTTTTTTTCTCGCCGTAACAACCATCCTTGGACTTCAACGAACATTTTAAAAAAAGAATTGGCCAAATTGGTCCAGGCGTTGTTGAGTTATGCGCTTACCAACACATTTTGCGATCCATTTTTATATATAAGATTGATATCAAAATTGAGAGTAAACTGAATTCCTAGGATTAAAATTCATTTACGAGACATTCTTTTTTATTAACTCTGCATTTAATAGTTATTTTGCATATAGTTTTTTCTAATCAATCATTAATAAAGCTGCATTTGACGAAATCTTTGAATAGATTCTATATGAATGTTTTTTTAAACATTACATTCAACCGTGAACCAATGATCATGATGAAAACATTATCATCAAAATTGCCATAAAAGATCAAAAAGTATCAACATTGTGTTTACTATAAACAGAAAAAAGTTTTATGCACATGCAATTGTTCATGAATTAAAAGGTAAAAGCAATGTTTTTCATTTGCAAGGTCGGTAGTAAATATATACTGAATTTAAAATCTATATTGAGATGTTGCTAAAGTTATTTAGAGAAGAATATTATAACACTAACCCTCAATAGAAAAAGATGAAAATATTAGACATGATATCGCTTTATAAGTCTATTCACATTTGCAAATGTTAAAAATAATTCTATTAAATATAATGACAAACTTATGTCAAGACCATTTTCATCAAACAAAAATAAAAGCATGAATATCACAAAGATGCGAAGTAATAATCTGTAATTTAATAGTGTCAATAAAATAGTTATGTATTCAATGCAGACTATAAAAGAAAAAAACACAAATAAATAAATAAAATAACATAAAATAAAAGTAAAATTAAAAATTAAATTATAAAGAAAGAATAACAAAAGAAAAATAAAATAAAATAAATAAAAATGAAATTAAAAAAAAAAATTAAAAATCTGCCTTAAATTACTTTCAACAATTTATCATTTCGAGAGAAAGTATCCTTGAATTGATATAGAAATTACATAGACCACAGCCGGCAAGTGACAGGATGTAAAACTTGAAATATTTATAAAATGAAACCATTTCATATATTATAATATTGACGAAAACTGGAATCAATTATAAATAAATTAGAAAAACATGTTTAGCAAAATAACAATGAGAGCCATAAAAGATTAGAAATAATGAATAAAATTATAATGGAAAATGGAAATATCGTTAAATGAATATTGATCAGGAAAATATTAAATAAAAATGAGAGCAATTAAAAATTGGAAACAAAATAAATAAACAATTATGATGAGAATGCGAATTAATGAATTTTCACCGAAAAAATATTTGGATTTTTGTGTCTCAAACGAGCACTATAAGATCTGAGACTTTTTCTATATTTGGCTAAATCCATTCTTTTTATCGGGTCCTGTTCATTTTCATTTATATACTTTCCTGAGAGATACCTATTAACACTTCTATTCCAAGTGTTAATAAAAAATAATATAAATGAATCTAAAAAAAATTGTTTTAAATTATGCTTTTGGCAAAGGAAATTAAAATTATATAATACATGTTTTTCTAATAATATTTGTAACTTGATCTTTACTTAGTTTATCATCAATACATAAATATTTAATGAAATGATCAAGTACTTGACTGCATTTAATAAATAGATCAAAAAATACATTTCCGGGAACCAAAAGCGAATGGTCAGTGTAATCTCTAGATGCAATCCAAGAAGCTTCATCCCTGCCAATTGTATCTGCTAATAGTTCAGATGTACAAACATGGCATTCACCAACATATCCGATAAGCTTCTTAGTACAATATCCTGCAACATAAGCGCTAGCAGTCTTACTGTACAATGACATGTCCTGGAAATAAAACCGCTCTGCATCAATAGACATATTGATCAGAGGGTCAGTTTCCAAGACATCTTCATTATTCAAAAACACTCGAAATGTGGCAAGTAACCCGGTTGTATCATCTATTTCACAATTAGCAGAAGTTGAATGGCGAGATGATAAATTGTTGACTAGCAAAGTTCTGAAGGCAGACACAAAAGAGTAACAACTTGGATTATTATTCGAAGCCCCTTGACTCCTTATGCAACCAAAAAAATTCTCCAAGGAATCTTGGTTAAAATTTGTGGTACATAAGTAGCTAAACCTCGGAACCACTTTCAATTTCTGCCAAATGTAGCTCAAACCCTCTATCGTTCTAATCCAATTTTTAATGCAAGGAGGTTTAGTAAAAACTTTAGTTAAACCCTTGCTTTTTATGAACTGCATTGAATTCAAAACTAATTTGGCTTCACGCCAAAATATAGTATGAGCCGACTTATTGAACATTGCACATCGAAATTGTTTACCATTAAATGGCAATTTTGATAAGCCATTGACACTATCAAATAAGTAGTCCATGAACATCAAAAATCCTCCGGTACCATATGAAGTAACACTTCCATGCGCTTCTAGGTAACCAGAATTTTGAAGTCCTTGAGCTACCCGTTGAGAAAATACTAGCGCAGCAAGACTGACCTTCATACGTTTCATCTTTGTTAGATCAGGGTGGTGTTCAGTTAATGTAGGACAACGACGAAACAAACTTGAAGTTGAATCATAATTATAATAATCTATGATGTCTTTCCAAGATGCTTCGTATTTGTCCCCATCTAAACCTATAAATTTAACATTGTACTGAGCAAAATTATTCCGCATACACTTTAACAAATGTGGAGGATCATATAAAGGAACAATCTCATGACCATCTATTTCAAAAAACAGTTTATTCCAGTGAAGGTTTTTCGTTTTATAATACTCTTCTGTATCGTTTAAAAGCATATTAACTGCTTTACAATTTGCTGCATATTGGTCGCAAACTGTGGCAATAACCTTTAAACCAATACTAAATAACTTTCTTGCTACATCAACAATAAGAGATTTTAAGTCAGAACTATTAACCCCACCTTCAGAAAAGTAAAAAGCAACTGGTTGCTTCCAACAATCCTCTACTCCTTCAATCATGAAAACAAGTGCATGATCCGCAAATAAACATTTTCTGCCATTTGCTAACTCTACAAAACCAACAATGTGATCCTTCTTACGATCATATGACAATTCTGAAGATAGTGATATTTCATCAAACATCAAAACACAGTATTTGCTACTCTCATACTTTTTATGAGAAATAGCTGAACTTAATGTATTAAAAAGACACTCATTTATACCGCTCTCTTAATTGAGACTATATAAAATTTCTTGCCCTTACATTTAGTTTGTTGCAATTTATCCCTTAAATTATTACATTGTTTGTTAATCCTGCTTACCTCCCGGAACAAAATTTTGGATGTATCATACATTTAACACCTCCTGGGTGTTAAAGCACTTCTACGTTTAATCAGTGAATACTGAAGCAATTTGCAGTTACCTCCTAGGAAATCTATTAAATATAATAACATGTTGTAATATCACAATCGAATAATTAATTATTATTGTTGTAATTAATATAAAAAAATACCTTTGCGGAAAACTGGTGTCACAATAGGTGACTGTTTTAACCCGCACTTGACAATCTTAGGGGTACTGCAAAAATCTTTTCTGAGGTTTTTAGGTTTCCATCTCCTACCTGAAAATATAAGATTAATTTGTCAGTAATTTTCTGCAAAAAGTATTAATTATTAAAGTAATTGGTGTTATAATTACTTCACCTTGTCCTTGGCGTTGTAGATTGTTCTCCTGATCCTGGATCAGAACATTCTTCAGTAATATGAGAACCATTCTGTAATTCCAGAGTTCCATCAAGTTCCATAATGTTTGAAGAAGCTAAAAAAAGGAAGCATATTAATATATAAATTATTAGGAAAAAGGATAGTGTACCTGATTTAAATACACAACTACATCATTTTAAATTAATGTCTAAACAACTAAAAAAATAAGATTCATTTATCAGTAATTTTCTGCAAATGGTATTAAAGTATTTAGAGTTATAATTACTTGTCCTTGTCCTTGGTGTTGAAGATTGTTCTTCTGATCCTAGATCAGAACATTCTTCAGTAATATGAGAACCATTCTGTAATTCCAGAGTTCCATCAAGTTCCATAATGCTTAAAGAAGCTAAAAAAGGAAGCACAACTACATCATTTTAATTTAATGTCTAAACAACTAAAAACATAAGATTTATTTATCAGTAATTTTCTGCAAATGGTATTAAAGTATTTAGAGTTATAATTACTTGTCCTTGTCCTTGGTGTTGAAGATTGTTCTCCTGAACCTAGATCAGAACATTCTTCAGTAATATGAGAACTATTCTGTAATTCCAAAGTTCCATTAAGTTCCATAATGCTCGAAGAAGCTAAAAAAGGAAGCATATTAATGTATAAATTATTTTATTATTAATGTAGAGTACCTGATTTAAATGAGCAACAATATCATTTAAAATTAATGTCTAAACAACTTGTATTTATTTACCTGAGATAGGATTAATATTCTTTGACAATCGGTATGCCCCTGCCTTCACATTGCAATCGACACACCAAGTTCTAAAATAATATAAGTTTTTTATAATCTAACTATCAAATACATATATAAATTTTATTATTATTCTTACGGAATCTATGTTTCCACAAGACATTTCTCTTCTAGGTCAGGATTCCCAACGAATCCTATAAAAACCAAGCAAAATATGAAGTGAGCATTTCTATTAAAAACAAATTCATTTATTCATGTATTATAGTAGAAACCTGGCATATTTATGTTCGGTAGGGCATTAATTTTCAAATTTGTCTTCGAACTTGTTGGCAAATTTTCAACTTTACAAACATTTGCAAAGTGCGCGTCACAGACATAACAACGTTTGCCACAATATAATGGAGTTAAATCGTCCAAAACATCTACAACATTTTCATTATATTTTTATTATACAAATTTATTATATAAACACAATACATCATTATATACATACCTGATCATTAGATGCCGGAAAGACATGCAACTTTATACTATTTCTGGAGTTACCACAATTTGGTACACTGCACTTTGCCATATTAATTCAATAATAATCCCTTGAACACAATTAATTATAAACAAAATACTTCACAGCGTAAATAAATGCTTCACTACGGCTTCACTATATAAGAAGATAATGGCGATTAATTTCCGCTGGGTTTTCCCAAAACAAACAAAAAAATTTTCGTGCAGCCATCTATTTTCTTCTCGATTAATGAGATTGAAACAAGTAGCGACATCTTTTTTCGCTAAAAATATTAATCCTCGCCAAAACAGTGTAACGAGCATTTGTTCGGAGATAACTCCCCATGGTCAAACCCATCGATCATGTATGCCAACATATCATTTTCGGTAACATTCGCCCTGTTGCCCAGAGCCATCTTCTCCTGGAAGTAGGAGCTAAAGGGTTCCTGCCTCCGCCATCTCCGGGCCTCGAACTTTCTCATCCTCGTCATGCGATCTTCGCTGTTCTGAAGGAAAGCTGTCATCGCTCTCTTAATTTCGTCGTAGCTATAAGTGGCGTATTCTGCTTTGCTAAAAAACCACGACTTAGCAGCTCCTGTCAATTTAGATATCATTAATACCGCCATCTTCCTCTTAGTCACGTCGTATGTATCGCGTACGGTTTCAATACGCTTGAACCATTAAGGTGAAACCGCGAATGGCTCATTACATTAGTTATGGTTCCTTAGATCGTACCCACATTACTTGAATAACTGTGGTAATTCTAGAGCTAATACATGCAAATAGAGTTCCGACCAAAGATGGAAGGAATGCTTTTATTAGATCAAAACCAATCGGTGGCGGGCTTGCCTTGCTCACCGTTTGACTTCATGACTCTGAATAACTTTGTGCTGATCGCACGGTTTAGTACCGGCGACGCATCTTTTAAATGTCTGCCTTATCAACTGTTGATGGTAGTTTCCGCGACTACCATGGTTGTTACGGGTAACGGGAAATCAGGGTTCGATTCCGGAGAGGAAGCCTCAGAAACGGCTACCACATCCAAGGAAGGCAGCAGGCGCGCAAATTACCCACTCCCGGCACGGGGAGGTAGTGACGAAAAATAACGATACGGGACTCATCCGAGGCCCCGTAATCGGAATGAGTTCACTTTAAATCCTTTAACGAGGATCTATTAGAGGGCCAGTCTGGTGCCAGCAACCGCGATAATTCCAGCTCTAATAGCGTATATTAAAGTTGTTGCGGTTAAAAAGCTCGTAGTTGAATCTGTGTCCCACACTGTCGGTTCACCGCTCGCGGTGTTCAACTGGCATGTCTGTGGGACGTCCTACCGGTGGGCTTAGCCCGTCAAAAGGCGGCCCAACTCAAAATCCTACCACGGTGCTCTTCACCGAGTGTCGAGGTGGGCCGGTACGTTTACTTTGAATAAATTAGAGTGCTTAAAGCAGGCTCATTCGCCTGAATATTGTGTGCATGGAATAATGGAATAGGACCTCGGTTCTATTTTGTTGGTTTTCGGAATTCCGAGGTAATGATTAATAGGGACAACTGGGGGCATTCGTATTGCGACGTTAGAGGTGAAATTCTTGGATCGTCGCAAGACGGACAGAAGCGAAAGCATTTGCCAAATGTGTTTTCATCAATCAAGAACGAAAGTTAGAGGTTCGAAGGCGATCAGATACCGCCCTAGTTCTAACCATAAACGATAACAGCTAGCGATCCGCCGAAGTTTCTCCGATGACTCGGCGGGCAGCTTCCGGGAAACCAAAGTTTTTGGGTTCCGGCGGAAGTATGGTTGCAAAGCTGAAACTTAAAGGTATTGACGGAAGGGCACTACAAGGAGTGGAACCTGCGGCTTAATTTGACTCAACACGGGAAACCTCACCAGGTCCGGACACCGGAAGGATTGACGAGACGAGATCTCTTTCTTGATTCGGTGGGTGGTGGTGCATGGCCGTTCTTAGTTGGTGGAGCGATTTATCTGGTTAATTCTGATAACGAACGAGACTCTAGCCTGCTAAACAGGCGTACTTTCCGGTATCGCAAAGACCCTCCGCTTCGGCTTCGGTCGTTGTTGGTTGTGGTTCTTACTACCGGCGTACAAATATATCTTCTTAGAGAGACAGGTGGCATTTAGTCGCACGAAATTGAGCAATAACAGGTCTGCGATGCCCTTGGATGTTCTAGGCCGCACGCGCGCTACACTGAAGAGATCAGCAGGTTTTTCTTGGCCGAAAGGTCCGAGTAATCCGTTGAAGCCTCTTTGTGCTAGGGATTGGGGCTTGCAATTCTTCCCCATGAACGAGGAATTCCTAGTAAGCGCGAGTCATAAGCTTGCGTTGATTACGTCCCTGCCCTTTGTACACATCGTCCGTCGCTACTACTGACTGAATTATTTAGTGAGGTTTTCGGACCGGTGCGCGGCAGCGTTTCGACATTGCCGATGTTGCTGGGAAGATGACCAAACTTGATTATTTAGAGGAAGTAAAAGTCGTAACAAGGTTTCCGTAGGTGAACCTGCGGAAGGATCATTAACGTACATTTACTATTTAGTGAATGAAACGTGTGCGTATAACCAACGACGTATAAAATCTTAAAGCGTCTCGCAACGATGGATCATTCGTTTCATTAACGTTTGACCGGAGCTAGTCGCGTGATGAAATTACCCGCTGAATTTAAACATATTACTAAGCGGTGGAAAAGAAACTAACTAGGATTCGCTTAGTAGCGGCGAGCGAACAGGGAAGAGCCCAGCACTAAATCCCGCGGCCGGAGATGGACGCTGGGAAATGTAGTGTTAGGGAGGATCCCATTATCTCGGTGCGTTGCGGCGAGTTCAAGTCCATCTTGAATGCGGCCATTTACCCTTAGAGGGTGCCAGGCCCGTAGCGACCGTTGCGCGTATCGAGAGGATCTCTCCTCAGAGTCGAGTTGCTTGAGAGTGCAGCTCTAAGTGGGTGGTAAACTCCATCTAAGGCTAAATATGACAACGTGACCGATAGCGAACAAATACCGTGAGGGAAAGTTGAAAAAAACTTTGAAGAGAGAGTTCAAGAGTACGTGAAACCGTTCAGGGGTAAACCTGAGAAACCCGAAAGATCGAAAGGAGAGATTCAATGTTATCGTTGTCTTCCATTTATTGGCGTGCGATTGACCGGGATTCGTCCCGCGATACGCCGTCGGTTTATGCGTTAGGCGGCGTTGGCATGCACTTCTCTCTCAGTAGGACGTCGCGACCCGTTTGGTGTCGATCTACGACCGCGGCGGTAGCCTGTCACGAATATATTCGCGCCAGACCCCGCGTGCTCCGGTCGACTGCCAGACGGTATAAATGATATGGTATAGGGTCGCTTTTGAGCGTTCGGCCGGTTGCAAGCACGGACGGTTATTGGCCGGAACCTAGTCCGGCATCGATGCCGCCTCGAGCTGTTAGCTACCGTATTCTCGGATGGAGTCTATTACCGGTCAGCGATGCTATTGCTTTGGGTACTTTCAGGACCCGTCTTGAAACACGAACCAAGGAGTCTAGCATGTGCGCGAGTCATTGGGAAATACAAAACCTAAAGGCGCAATGAACGTAAAGGTTTGCTTAAGTAAACTGAGGGATGACGGACCGCATCTACGGATGCGTTCTTGCAATCTCGAGGCGTCTCACTCTCATTTCGAGAAGAGACGCACTCAGAGCGTACACGCTAGGACCCGAAAGATGGTGAACTATGCCCGGTCAGGTCGAAGTCAGGGGAAACCCTGATGGAGGATCGTAGCAAATCGATCGTCGGAACTGGGTATAGGGACGAAAGACTATTCGAACCATCTAGTAGCTTCCATTTTTACGCCTGTATTTGCTGGTTGACCATCGCAACATATGCCTATCAAAGAATCGAGAGCTATTCCTTTATCGGCAAAAAATTCGTTCAATTTGATTACTTTACTTTCCGAATCTTCATTTTCCAATTTTGTGTAACCCAACAATTGACAATTCGGTTCCTTTAAAATAACTAAACGCGCTTCTTTAATCATTCGTGGGTGAAACTACTTATCGATTTTTTCCATGGTAATAGAATCATTTTTACGGCCGTCGAATGAAAATGCTATTAATTCAGAAGAATCGTATCGTTTGTGTAGAGCTTGCCTATTTTTCTGCCTCTCACAAACGCTTTTAATTTTATCCATAATGACAGGATTGCCCTAATCATCCATTACGCCCAGGTCATGCAGGATTGCTGTCACCACGCCAGAACCAACTCTATCAGAAATTGCAAATCTGTCGCACATTAAGGCATAGCTTGGAGCCTTATATCCTCGACTATATGGTCCACGTTTTATATGAGAAGTATTTGTGAACTTTCCGAACTGCTTTTAAAATCAAAACCAACATCAAGTATATGTCTCACCTGGAGTAATATTGCTAGTTATTGTAGATGCTGATACTTCATCTTCAATTTTTATGATATATTCTGGTATCATAGATTTCCTCTCATTATGTTGATTCATCATAAACGCTTGTAAATGTTCTGGGATCAGTCCGCAAGAACACAGTATTCTTCGCAAATCGCATTTGCATTTTCCAATATAAAATAATTCTTTCGTGGATTCTACAAACTCCTGAAATGATGCTTGGGTAGACTTGCTTTTATTTGTACTTTTATATTTATCAATCAATAGGTTCAATTTTCTAGCGATACTTCGTTTCTCCATAATTGGAATATCAATTTTTTCCCACGTCTGAATCAATTTCGTTACCACATTTGGAGTAAATGTTTTATATGAAAACATTTTATTTTGTTTTTTTTTTATTTTTCCGCCAAATAAAAATAATACCTGATAATTTCCACAATTGTCGGAAGATTTACTCCTGTAAATTCTTCTGCTGGTCCAAATGTAATTTGATCATGCGAGCGCATATCATTCAAATTACTGGCACTTGCGCCTGAATTTAAATAAAAATTCGCCATTGATACTTGAGGTCCTGGCAAAGAACTGAAGGAAGATTTATGCGGATTTGTCACATTAATATATTATTTTTGAAATTTCTAGAAGTATAATGAAAAAATACTAGCGCACTCTGATGGAAATAAATAACAACAAACTAAACCCGATTTAAAAACCCCCGCATAAACTATTAATAAAAATATAACTCACAATTTGAATTATTCACATGCCTAAATTAATACATTTACTTATTAAAAACAGTATTTTATTGAAAATTTCGCTGGCTAAAAAGTTATTTGCGATATATGGTTCTGCAGTCAAAATTCATTTAAATAACACATATATTTCATATAAAAAGGTGCCCATATCGCTTAATTTTACTTCTATAATGAATTGGCCCTCCCTAATATATATATATATATATATATATATATATATATATATATATATATATATATATCTTATATAAATATATATATATATATATATATATATATCTTATATAAATATATATATATATATATATATATATATCTTATATAAAATTCTTCTGTAACAATATAAGTTTCATTAATTCTCCTGAACTATAATTCCGATTTTCATGAATCTTCCTGAAGTTTGTTCGGGAAATTTTCTAGAATGTTTTGATTCATAGAAATATAGTTAGATTGTAGAAATAAATAGAAAAAATTAC